TGGAAATAATTCAAAACCTACAGAAAGAGGTCCAAATGATCAGTAATAGAATAACAGAAATAGACAATACACTGAAAGGGCAAAGGAGTAAAATAGAAGACACGGAAAACAGAACCAGTGAGCTGGAAGACAAATCTCTCAAAACCACTAAGATAGAGGAGCAAACAGAAATAAGGATAAAAATATCTGAAGAAGGTCTAACATTCATGTTGGACAACATGAAGAGGAATAGCTTAAGAATTAGCGGCATTCCAGAATAAGAAGACTCACAAAAGTTTAGAAGAATAGAAGATAATTCTTAAAAAAAAAGACCAACAGGAAAAATACAAAAAAAATAACGGTAGTCCAACTGATTACTACAAGAACAAGTTGCTCGCCCAGGAGCCATCAAGGCAAGTGGTCGGTCCCCTCAGGGCAAACCCCCTTCCAAGACTAAGACTCAATGGGAATACACGAGCAGACATGAGCTCTGATTGGTGACCACATTTGTCACCAATAAGGGGAAGTGAGGGAAAAACAGCAGTGAAGCTGCGAGCTAAGCCCTGTAATTTTCAACAGATTCCTGTGAACCCAGGTGGAGACCTGGTTGGCCAGCAGTGTGGCAAGACCTGGGGACTCTTGGGTCCAGAGTCAGTGACATAGCTACAGAGAACTAGAATGGAAAGGGAAGCGTCCAGCAGATAATACCCACTTGACCTGGCTTCTATGACTAAATGATCAGAGCTCAATTAGAAGAAAGAAGAGGAAAAAAGGGGAAAAAATATGATACAATTTGATGAACTTGACCTACACCTATGGATGCAGTAGCTCAAAAGAGGGAACAAATTTTACAGCAAGGATCATTCCCACCCCTCCATACACAGGGTAAACAGAGCTGGGCAACTTGGACATTGGCTACCCAAAATGGGGGGCTTCAAAGGCAAGAAGTGACTGGCTTACAAGTTTTCAAGAGGGAGCCTAAATCCAGAGGGCACAGAGGAAGGCAGAATCTCCACTGAATATTATCTAATCTCTCTGGGCGGGACTGATGACGTGGGAGAGATGGAGCAGCTGGGAACTCTAGACCCAGAGAGGGAGAGGGGCTGTGTGCTGACAACCAAGAGACAGGCTTGCGGGGTGTACCCTTTAGTTGGTTGATGATGCAATGGAGCATGTAACAATATACGATAAGATGAATGTAAAGCTAATGTTCTCCCATGTAAACTATCACATAATTCACAATAAAAGTTTTTTAAAAAAGGAGTTCTGCTTCTTTGAAAATCACTAAAGGGAGAAAAAATTGCTGATCATTACATATTCCCAAAACACACATTGTACTATGAAGAATATGAAAAGAACACGCAAAGTTTTACCTCGACACAGGTTTTCATCCCTGAAGCAGCAGCATAGTGCAGGGGTGTGTTTTTTTTGTTATCTACAGCGTCAATAGCTGCTCTTTCATATTCGCCTTGGTCAAGCTTTGCTCCTTTCCATCTTAAGATCATCTGTAGACAGTCCGCTCGTCTGAAATCATCTTCTGCAGGACGGGCTAAGCGAGGATGAAGGGCTCCTTCAGATATCATAATTTGAGGTCCCATACACAACAAATGCATAGATGTTTCATTGTGCATATTCCGTTTATTTGGATTTCCATCTCTACCAAATAGAAAAGTCCTAAAATGGTAATGGAAAAGAAAGGTGAAAAGAAGTTTTTTTTTTTTCTTTCCCCTATCTTTAAAAAAATATATAGAAGATAACAAAGTTAAAAGATCAGCTCTATTTCTAAACTGATCACCCAATTATTGGTGAAGCAATTGGTTCACAACAGGTTAAATTATCTATTCTTACAGTTTAAAAAAAAAAAGCTTGTCCCGATGTGGCATAATGGGTTAATACTCTAGACTGCAAAGTCAGTTTGAATAGCAAGGTCAGTAGTTCAAGCTCACCAATCACTCCTTGGAAACCCTATACAGGGTTGGTATGGGTCGGAACCAACTTGATGTCACACAAAAACAGTTTAAAAGGAGTCACAGTACTCTGCTGTAAGATAAGCAATGGACCATAAGGTCAGAAGTTCAAACCCACCAGCCACTCATTGGAAACCCTATACAGGGTTGCTATGAGTCAGAACCAACTTGACAGCACTTTCCAACAACACAGTTTAAAAACAGTACTGGTGTGACATTGTAGAACATGCACTGAACTGCTAACCACCACAAGGTCAGCTGTTCAAACCCATCAGCAGCTCCTCAGAAACCCTATACAGGGTTCACCATAAGTGGGAACTGACTTGAAGTCATTACTTAACAACAGTTTTAAAACTGTCATAAAGATTTACAGCCTAGGAAACCCTGTGGAGCAGTTCTATTCTGTCCTATAAAGTCATTAGGAGTTGGACTCGAGTCAACAGCACAAAACAATAATCGTGACATGAGCAGATTTTTTCTCCCTTATTAGATACAAACTGCCAAGTTTTTCAATCATTACATCACCAGGCTCCTTTCTAGAACAGTAATACTACAAAATGGGTTTACAAGTCAAAAGAGACGCTGAAATTGAGTGTGTGTGTGCATTTACTGTGAAGGGTTGAGAGAACATTAGGATTCCTATGTTCAAGTCTATAACAGCAATGAGAAGGGAACTGAGGCAAATCCTAAATCCTGTCAAGTTTGCACTATTTTTAGGATAGTGTCAACTTAGAACACATGATGCTAATAAAAGCAACTGAATAAAAAGTAATAGCATAGCCTCTTCTATTTGAATGAGTTAAACAAGCTGAAAAAAACCCTTATGAGAAATAAGTTCAATAAGAGGTCTTGTCTAAGGCAGTAGCAAGTCCCAGACAATTGTCAGAATAAAATCTCTCCTGTTCTTACCATTCAGGATTCCAGAGAACTCATCAGTATAACCTTTTAACATCTACATTTATCTGAATTGTACTAAGAGTAGACATGAGGGCTATGGAGCAGGAACAGGTGAATTAGTATTAGTTAGGTTAGTCATAGTAATCAAGGAGCTCTGGTAGCATAGTGGTTATGAATCAGGCTGCGAACCTCACGGTCAGCAATTTGAAACTACCAGCTGTTCCGCGGGAGAAAGATGAGGCTTTCTGCTCCCGTAAAGATTTATAGCCTTGGAAACCCTGTGCAGGGTCACTATGAGTCGGAACCGACTCCATGGCACATAACAACAACAGTTACAGTAATCAAGCACCTTCATGACATTCCACTGTAATCAGTCATATCAGGTGTCACTGTATATGTACTGCGGACTGCACTGTAGGCAAACACAATAGGCAAAATAATGACTTCCTAAAGATGCCTGCTTCCTACTCCCTGGAACCGATACATATGTTAGCTGATATGGCCAAAGGAATGTTGCAGATGTGATTAAATTAAGGATCATGAAATGGAGACACTGTCCTGGACTATCATGATAAGCCCAATGTAATCACAAGAGTAGTTATAAAAGGGTGGCATGAGGACCAGGGTCAGAGACTGGAAAACGCTACAGTGCTCGCTTTGAAGATGGAGGAAGGGGACACAAATCAAGGAACGCAGATGGCTTCTGAAGTTACAGATGGCAAGAAAACAGATTCCCTCTTAAAGCTTCCAGAGGAACACAGCCTACTGAAAACTTTATGTTAGCCCGTGAAACTCATTTCAGACTTATGACCTACAGATCTGTAAGACAATGAATTCATTTTAAGTTACCACATTTGTTACAACAGTGATAGGAAACTAATACAGCAAGGAACCTCCCAAATAAGAATAAGAAGTTATATAAAATGACTTGCACAGGAGACCTCCTTCTCTGTACTGAGGCATGGGGACTTAACTTTGAGTATAGATAAATTCTCCTAAAGAAAGATTCTAGGTTCCCACCCTTTGTAATGTAAACATGTCTCTAAGAAAAAGAAGAGACTATGGAGTTCTAGTGTGGCACTACAGAATAACCACTAGACTAAACCAAAAAGTCGGTGGATTAAACCCACAAGCTGCTCCTCAGAAACCCTATACGGGGTTGCTATGAGTCAGAACTGACTCAATAGCACTTAACAACAATCATCTCTGTAGTTTTAAAACCTAGGGCATCCACTATCATCCACCCAATCTGCAAATACACACCTCCTGGAAGATCAATTTCTCCAGGAATCTCAATCAATGCTTAGTCATAAATTAATTTCCAAGGCTTGTCTTCTAACCCAGATCCCAAACCTAACCATGTTTGTTTTCTTTACAGTCCCACATAACTTTAATGTCTTCTGAATCCTCACTTTCCCGGGTAAACGTGTAGGCTCTCCATTGTCTGCTCTGCTATTTGGTTTCCCAAAAACTGACCCAGAACAGATAAGTAAACTCAGTCCTGTTTAGAAGCATGCAGGTCCAAAGGGTTTCTCTTTATATGTAGCATTTCTAGTCCTGGGTTTATAGTTCTGGTACTATAGGATAAGTTCTGAACTGAAACCGCAAGGTTGGCAACTCACACCCACCTGCATCTCCGAAACTCTATACAGGGCTGCTATGAGTTGGAACTGTCAAAATGGATGTCAGAAGAGACACTGAAACTTGCTCTCCAGTGTAGAGATGCTAAAGCAAATGAAGAAATGAGGAGGTACAAGAGCTGAACACAAAATTTCAAAGGTCAACTCGAGAAGATAAAACCAAATATTACAACAAAATGTGCAAAGATCTAGAGTCAGAAAACCAAAAAGGAAGAACACGCTCAGCATTTCTCAAGCTGGGGGAACTAAAGAAAAAATTCAAGTCTCAACTTTAATTATTGAAGGACTCTC